AAATTTCTTTTCTGCATATGTCGCCTGCTGACTTCATTTGCTGGTGCGCAGGTTGTCTCGGCGATCAATAAAACCGCCACAATAAGAATAGAAAGTGTTAYCTTGGAAACCATGGTTAATGCTGCAATAAACAAGATCAAAACGTAGACATTACATCCACAATCCAATATGGAGGAAAATTATTATTACATATACTACGATATTCTGGGGATATTCTGACACTGTACAAGAGCAGTTACGAAGGTAAAAGAGTAAATAGGAATGGAGATAAATGTAGTGTGACACTGTCCCTTTATTAACTTGAATGGGTTTTTCTAAACTCTCAGAGAATGTATATAGACCCACATACATTTACTCAAAAACAAAAAAGTAAGACAAAACAAATGACAAATGAAACCTAACAAAATGAAAACTAGTATTAAACAAATTAAAAGCTCAGAGAACTTCAATGACCTAATTTCGAAGATTCTTAAACCCAAAAGACGTATTCTTTGGTAAAGCAACAGAAGTGAAAAGGTTTTCTGCAGGAAAGGGGTCTTAAAATGCGTAACAAAAGCACGGCTACCAACCACGTAAGAAAGTAAAAACCTTTGAGATATTTGTATGGACCATAAGGCCTACCTACCACAAGAAACTTGTATGTTTTGCAGTTTTAAGACCTTTTTCTTTTAAGCCCGCGTTTATCAGTATTGGTCAAATTCGACTCAATGGTTCTATTTATTTGAAAGCTAAGATGTTATATGTCATTACAACGGAAGCAAATAACTCAAATAACACTCCAATATGTCGAAATAAGTTCCTAAAAACCAAACTTTATAACATATCTTGTAATCGAGGAATAACATTGACTTGATGAAAGGAAAACAGCAGGACTTTCATTAAAATATTTTATCGCCTTTTGTCGAACGCGGTCTTACAAGAAACATGAAAAGTCGGTTGACGGGCCTCAAAGAACGAAATGACTTTCAAAATTGATATAAAAGATATAAACTGTGATTTCAAATGACGTCAATTGAAAAACTGGTGCTTATCAATTGCAACGATAAATATATTTCAAGATCAACGCGAAATGTCAACATTTCATTTTGTAATATTTGTACACTTGTAACTATATTTGACATTTTAAGCTCAAAAACATCTTTTAAATTTCCCAATTCTCGAAAAGAAATAAGTATTTATGTTTAATGAAAATGAGTTAAGACTCTTCGTATTAACAAAGTCAAATGTGAAAGATACAGTATTATCCACTCTCTTAATCCACTCTCTTAGTTTCATTTTTCATTAAAATTTCCCCTTGAATTCCTCAAAATTTGACAAAAATTATAAGCTTTTTAACCGGATTTTAATATCCAAACTTAGTCCATCCTATCAGTATTTAACTCCTCCCTTCTTCCTTCCTTTCGGATCCTACGAAAAAGATTACTAACTGACAAGAAAAACACTCTTTAATTGAAATTGTTTGACTGTCATCGCCGCTCTAGAGGGGAAAAACTTTAATTCCAAATCTTATCGAGGTAAATTATCGTTATATTTTCTTCCGTTTACTCTTGAAGTGTCCGGAGATCCAATATTTCTTTATTAAAATCAGCTTGTATTTAGGAAAACGTGTGACAAATTGGAAAATTATACTTCAGGGAAATTACAACGTAAATGAACGAAGCTCTGGAATCAACCGTTATTGGTCCCGTTAATCAGTGCATGTCGTCTTTAAGCCCCGTTTACACTGGCGATTTTTGCGGCGATTTTTCAGTTGAAATTTTCGGGACTATTAAATCTTTTGTCTCATCCTTCAAAAGAGACATTCGTCTAGGAAAATCTTGGTATCCTGAATAAAACTTAACAAGTAAATTCTTTACCATTATTTATTATGGACAAAATCGCCGCAAAAATCGCTAGTGTAAACGGGGCTTTAAAGTGCTAACGTTGGGCGAACATTATCAAAAATTTAATGCAACCTTGAGATTATCTTACATGCGAGGCTAACATCAAAATACGAAAGAATTTTTACAAATTCCATCGAGAAAAAGTATGACTTCTTTGGTATATTCATATCAGCCTCGTATACACGATGCTTTAATAAGGATCCCTGAAACGTTACTGGAACAATCTATAAGGCTCTACTAAAAACTGGTGTAGTCTTTTCTTGATATTCCGATCAAAAGTATTATATTTTGAGAATGTTTAACTTCATTAAAGGAGTCAGTCAAATTTTGGTTGAATTTGACATTTCGGACGATTTTTATTCCAAGTAGCACTATAGCTATTTTTCTATATTCACTCAGGTTATATCCCACGGTAAAATATTTATTAGTCAAAATTTTCTGTAAAGACTGATAAAACTAACATTTCTAAAAGTAGAAATGATTTCAAGTAGTTTGGTATTTTTCCAGCTGTAGGGCAGTCTGGAGTTCTCACAAGACGCCCTCGTTTCTTCATTCGGTTCTGTTTTTATTGATCTACCCGCTGTTAATTTTTATTAACTCTTACCGTTAGAATAAATACTGACACTGCTGGTTTTAGTTCTACTGCGACAAAATGTTTTCCCGAACCTATAACCCCCAAATGATCGGATCTTAGAGCATGTTGTTCGCATACACAATGTTGTTTTATAGTAGTTTTCTGTATTTTTACACTTCTTTTAGCGAAAATGAACGGTTTCTGTTTAAATGGTTCAAGTTGTTTTCTGAAAAAAATTTGAAATCTTTTTCTCGAACTTATGATCCCCAAACAATTTGATCTTAGAACATGTTGTTTGTTTTTAGTTTTCTGTATTTGTATACTTCTTTTAGTAGTGAAAATGAAAGGTAGATGTTGTTTAACCCTATTATTGATCTCTTTCTACCTTACCTAAAAAAATCAAAACATATATTATGTCTTATAAATGTGTATCAAAGTGAAAATACATACAAAAAAATGATATGAGATATCTTGGCTTTCATATTTCTTTTAATTTACTAGCTGCTATCAAGACAAAAAACATCGGCTTTATAAGTTTTCCTATCAGTTACCGATCATTAATTCAACTAGAGACTAATGATAACGAATCTACAAAATGAAGTTAAGAGACTTCGGCTTTTTTTTACATATCCAGCTCCTGATAAGGTAACTAGGCAGACAAACAAAAGAACAAGATCCAAAATTCAATTCAAAACTACTAGACTACTACAGCAATCAGATTTAAAAGATACCAAACAAGATCATAATGTCTTACGTTTCATTAGATTATTTTTGGACTTTTTTTCCTGAAAATCCAGGTTTTTTTGGCGGGAAAAATCCAGCTGACGCGCGCTCTCCCACGCAATTGTTGTCATGGTGATAAAAGTGGTAGTAAAAACGCAGTATTTCGTAGCAACTTGAATGAAAAAGCTTTAAGATTAAGTGACTGTCAGGAGAACGTATTCAAATACGTTTTAACGTTTCAATGAAAAGATTTGATATTTGATTCTATCGATCTGTTCTTTCACTCTTTGATTGACTGTTCACAAAACGTCAAAATAGCGATTTGACGATGGCCTCGCAGGACAAATTTTTAACGACCGCGAAATTTTCTCGTTGTCGTTGAAGTCGTACATTGACTTTAATATGAGCTATATTCAAAACTGTTAATTGGCAAAGGACTGTATTTTTGATTGAATATGTAAATGAACACGTTGTACCCTATTCTTTCGTTACATTATAAACAATAGAATAAACTGCGATCTTGCTTGTAATACATACGGTACTGATTTCATTTGAAACAAGTAAAACAATGGCCTTTTTTACGCAGTGTTAATACGCTATTATTTTCTTTCTTTTTTCGTGTTTCTTTAGTTGGTTCGGTGTTAATACATGGCAAAGACAAAAACCTTTCGAACTTTACTTCTTTTGTTTAATTCCTAGTTTTTTCTCTTTCTTTGACACAGCTTCATAACCGGGATGTAGTTACAAAAAAACTCAAATTTTCAAATTAAAAACGATTCATGTGAAATTCTTCCTGATATGATTCAATTTGATTAACTGGTACTATCACTGATCTATCTTTCAAGGCGCAATATTATTTAAACCTCTCTGGTTTTATTGAGAACCGAGGGTGAAAACGACGCTCTGAGAATAAAAACTATAACATGAATTATAGCATTATGATTTGCTGAAGAATTGAGGGACATTTCAGAAGAAAATTACAAATCATAGTTCTGATGGCGGGGTTATTATCCCGTACATCCCGTATTGATAAACTGGGTGCTGCTGGGTGCTGATATAGAGAAGTATTTTTATGCTCAGTTTATAAATTGTTTACTTCGACGATGTAAAAGAAGTTTACCCTTCTACATGAAAGAGTAGTGCATTATCTTCAATCTTTTTGTACTAAATACAGAAGGTCTAAACAGCTAATAATATGCGTCATAATAGATGTTATGAATTTTAAGAAATTTCATTCATGAATTTATGATTTAAAAACAAAATTTTCAACACAAATGACAGAGGATTCACTTACGATTTATGATACGTTATCTATAGCAGTTGAGTACCGTGTTTCTTCACTTGTAAGTAAGTACTAGAATGGATCTGGATGAATAAACTCCGCGCCTCTGTTGTCCTATTTATACTAGGTGTCAGCGAATTAACCCGTCAACAATCGGGTGGCGAAAGTTCGAAATTACTTGGCAACACAATCACTTGTTCGTAACACCTTAACTAATGGCTCATCATTACTGTATTCCTTTTGACCTCCGAGGCTAATTTATGACATATTTTTACCTCTAAAAAATTCAACGCAAATTATAAATGTACAAGAAAAATCGATACTTTTGACATAATTTAGACATATCTACAAGATATAAGGGTTATGTTCCCGCCATCCTCGTTCGACTATAGCTTCATAAAAAATAGGCCAAAACTTTAAAATCAGGTAATTACCTTAATCATCGACTGCCTAAAAGATGTTTTAAGTACGAGTTATATTTCAAGACTCATTTAAAAGGTTCATAAGTGCTTTGTACAATATTTGAATATTTTTCCTTGTATGTCAGTAGTTTGTTTACTGTTGATGTTTTCTTCAGGAGGGTTCGATACATTTGCCCTGCTACTGGAAGAATTCCCCGATAAGATCTTAAAAACTTTGTTCGGAGATATTTAAAAAAA